CTGATTCCCACAGCCTCATAGAAGGGTGGTTTTTACTCTATAGTACAGCCAACAATGCTCTGTAAAATTTGGGTTAGTTTTGTTCAGTACCTGATAGCTAGCCTGCATAATTTTCCAGAGAGAGTTGTCATTAAAAGGGTTGGTAGTGGGCGTTACAGGTGCAGTAGCTCTAAAACTAGCCGTGACATCTTTTACATCATGCTGTGAGGGTACCAGTGGGTTGAAAACCTGGTTAGGTCCGATTGATTGGGGTGCTTGGGGTGGTAGAAACCTATGGATTTTTATTATCTCTCCTGGGTCTTTGCCAGCATGGTGAAGAAACACTGACCAGTTCTTTCCTAAAGCCCATCCCGCATTACCTGGATGCAAGACTTTTATCTTCAGATGGGTACAAGTGCTTTCATCTCTAACATATACTGCGCAACACGGCAAAAATTTTGGATGCTTACATCCTTTTGGTCCCCATGTTACCCGCAAAAATTCATCCTCTTTCTTTGGTTTCCATCTGTCACTCGTTACAATGGTCTCACATCCCCAGTGCCCACAGAAGTAATACCCTGGATAGTGGCAATGGGCGTTCCCTGGATTTGAGCTTGGACACCAATATGTTCCCCATAGCGGGTTGTCATCGGGTCTTCCAAACATGGGAAACAAGTCAAGCACCTTTACCATAAATGTTGGAGCACCTGCTGTTATGTTTTCTCTTATCACCTTGTCTGGGCCTTCTAGGACCCACTTGAATGGCCGATGAGGGTGGTATTCTGATTTTGCCCGTACTTTGGTGATTAGCCCTAAAATCAAGATCACACAAAGGCTTCACAGCCCTCCCCCACGGGGGCTGTGTCACCACTGTTTGGATTCTGCTAGTGCGGAGGTCTCAGGTGCAGACTGGATGCTTGTCAGCTTGTCGTCCTCTTTTGGCACCAGGATGTACGGATTACGAGGACGTCCGATGATCCAGTCCTGTAAACAAAAACTCACAGTTTTCATTAGTTTCATTCTGAAGGTCAGGCCTAATAGACTGAAGTGGACACCATTTAACTTTTCCATCTTTTTTGACAGCAGCATATCCTCTCCCAGTGAGGACTAACCTCCATCCCTGTTCCCATTCTCCCAGCTCATTTCTGATTGTAACCAGCGGGCCTTCCTCTAGCACTTGAGTGGCCCAATGTTTTTGTGTGGGACTTTTCGACTCGTCTCCCCTGGGAAATTGATTTAGTGCTAAAAGAGCGGTCGCTAGCCGGCTTGCTTGGTCTCCTGGGGGAATGGCGTTGGCAAAACCGTCTGTTTTTGCCAGCACCTCAAATTTAGATTTCAGGGTTTGATTTGCTTGTTCAACTATGGCCTGTCCTGTGCTATTATATGGAATGCCATGTGTCAGGGTGATACCCCATTTCTGAACGAATGCTTGAACTGATGTAGAGGCAAAATTTGGACCATTGTCTGTTTTGATCTGATTAGGGGCACCAAGCCACACCATGACCGTTAGCCAATGCTGTATGGTCACTTTGGAGTTGGTTTTAAGGTGTTGTGTGGCTACTATCACTCCGCTATAAGTGTCCACAGTTACTGCTAGCCATGCTCGAGGTTTTAACAACTGGCAGAGCGTAAAGTCTGTCTGCCACACTTCAGATGTCTTAAGACCTCTGGGGTTGACTCCACTGGACCACAATGGTGTTTTCTGACAATGGGGACATGTAGCAACTATGTGTTTCACATCAGTGACTGAAATCCCGCATTTCCTCGCTAGCGCGAGAGAAGAGACTCATGTAGCTGACGGGCATGCCTTAGCATCCACAGTCCTTTTGCAGCGGCGTCTGCTTTGTCATTGCCAGTTTGAAAAAACCCTTTGATTGGGTCATGGCTGTTGACGTGGATGACCGATATGGTGCCTTTTCGAGAGAAAAGTGCTTCTTCCAACATCTGGGCTGCTGCAGATGTTGACACGCCAGGTCCTGACATAGCTAAGCAAAGCTTGGCCACAAACATTGAGTCAGTCACTATGTTGAGGTGTTCCATTGGAAACAGTCCACATGCCAGCACTATGGCCATCAATTCTAGCTGCTGAACTGAGAGTGCACAATCAGTCATTTTGATGCATTGCCATTCTTCTCCTGATTGCCATACCGCCGCTGAGGTTGAGGTTGTTGAGGATGCGTCTGTGAAGACTGCTGGTCCCTGTTGGGGTTGGTCCATGATTTTCTGTGGGAGGTCGATGTTGACAATCGCCAGCATTTGGGTCCAGGGGGGCTTTGTAGCATACCGGACTTCTCCACCAAACCCTACAACAGCTATAGCAAGGTACTCTGACATTGCCACTGATTGCACTGGGAGCTGTTTTTGGAAGGGTAGGAATATCCTGGCAGGTTTGACGCCCAGGTGTCTTAGAGCGAGCTTTCTGCCTTTCATGATGAGATTACCAAGGCACTCAATTCCTGGAGAGAATGCACGTGACGGTTTTCCCAGGACTATCCATTATATTGGCTGAGCTTTTTCAGGTGACCCTTGGGCCAGTGCCACTACTCCCCCTCCTTTTGTGAAATGTACATACAGATCGAGTGGAACACTTGGGTTCAACCTGGCGAGCGTGCTTGATGATACCTGTTGCTCAATAAAATCTAGAGAGTTCATTGCTTCTGTTGTCAAGGTTTTTTGTTCCCATGGGTTCTTTCCTTTCAAGAGATCGTGCAGGGGGGGCATGACTTCAGGAGGTATCAGGACAATGTTGCGGAGCCATTGTAAGGATCCCACTAGTTGCTGCATGTCGTGGAGTGTTCTGATGTCCTGACAGATCTTCATTTGAGGGGGTGTTATGTAAGAACTGTTGATCCCCACTCCCAAAAAGGTTACACATGGTCCTCTTTTTATTTTCGCTCTTGCGATTTCAAACCCGTTTGTTTTCAAAGTCTCTGAAATTGTTGATACCAACTGATCCACCTGATTTCCTGACGTCGCAGCGATCAAGATATCGTCCATGTATTGAATGATACTCGCTGTCGAGTCACTATGCTGTACTGGTGCCAATGCTCGATCCACTGTGATCTGGCAGATGGTAGGCGAGTTGGTCATTCCCTGAGGCAGCACTTTCCACTGGAAGCGCAGGTTGGGATGCTGGCTGTTTGGGAACACGACAGAGAAAGAAAATCACTCCTTGTCCTCCTCACGCAGGGGTATTGAAAAGAAACAGTCCTTAATGTCAAGGATGGCACAAGGTTGTCCTTCTGGTATCATAGAGTTCATGGGTAACAGCATTTGGACAGGGCCCATTGGTTGGATTCTCTTGTTCACTTCTCGCAGGTCATGAAGGAGACGAAATACTTCGCCAGAATGTTTGGGTATTACAAAAACTAGGGTGTTCCATGGACTAGTGGAAGGCTCTGTGTGACCTAGTTGTAGTTCCCGGTCGACTAACTCAAGGAGAGCGTCCATTCGAGGCTTTGACAGGGGCCACTGCTCGACCCACACTGAGTAGGATGATTTCCACATCAGTCTAATTGGTAAAAGTGGGTGTGCGGCAGCGGCCCTCATGGTAAATTTGTCACTCTGGCTTTCAGAAGGGTTAAAGCGTCCCTTCCCAACAGGGGTGGGACTCCTGACATGATATATGGAAGGAGGGTAATAGTTTTCTCTGGTCCTTTTCCAGTGTGAAGTGTAATTGCTACCAATTGAGCACTCTTCCGAGCCGGGGTTAGTCCCCCGACTCCTCCTACCATGGGGGCATCTTCCAATTTCCAGTGTGGGGGCCAGGTTGTTTCCGGAATGACTGTAACATCTGCTCCTGTATCAATCAAAAAGGGAATACAGATGGTGATGCCATTCAAGGTATTATAGAGGGAACAGGTCCCCCACACCACTGGTGTGTTGTCACACTTTACTGCCAGGGCCACCCTAGGGTCTCGTCCCCAGGGGGTGGTTCCTGTTGTCCCTGAAAAAGGGACGGGTTTGGCCAAATAGTTCGTTGGGCTATAAAATTGGTCACCCTTCGAGGAAGTGATGGGCTCAGAGGCATCTCGCCCAGCCCAGGGTTGGCATAGCTGGGCCGCCTCATGTCCCAAATGGGAGAGGGCTGTGCGCGGCCCTGGTGCCCTCTCCCCTTCCCGTTTCCCTGCTTTTTAGATTTGCATTCCTTGGCAAAGTGACCTTTCCTTCCACAAGCCCAGCACAGTCCCTTGGATCGGCTTAGGCGCAGTGCTGGTAGCTCCCCCGATCGAGGGCAGACTGCTGCCCCATGGCCCAGTTGACCACATCTAAAACATGCCATCACAATACACGTTGTGGTGGTATTAGCCGTCTGGGTTGGGGGTGGGTGCTGTTCCCTCGCAACATGCCTAATCATGTCTGCGAGACTTGACCCCACTGGCAGTAATCGTAAGATGTCTTTGGTTGTTGAATTACACTGCTGGCGTAAACATTCTGTTAGGACTGGGCCTCTCGCTTCCAAGGGCAGGGTCGAGGAGTCGATCGCTGCCAGGAGGCGATCCACAAAGTGCGTGAAGCTCTCACTTTCATTCTGCTTAACTTTGGACCATGGTGATGACTTTTCAACAACTTTGGAGGTTGCGCGAATGGCTTCTCTGGCTGCATAGGTGGTTGCCATAATTTCCTGGGCCCTCAGGCCTTGGGCCTGCGCATAGGGGGTGATCAATGTTGGGTCTGTACCCACCAGCCGTAGCAGGCTGGAACCATACAGTGGGTGGTCCGCCCCGGTCACTTGGGCTAAAAGCCTTGCACAGTTCTCTTCCCATTCTTGTCTAAAAAAAATCATTCCTGCCCCATCAAAGATCATTCTACAAGCTTGTTTTATATCAAATGGGAGCAAACCATTCCCCCCAAAGACACAATCTATAAGGGTGCAAACCATGGTAGAATTAAGCCCTTTATCTGCAATTGCCTTAACAATTGCTTGCATGTCCTTAGTGTTTATTATTGAATAGGTCCTGTTTTCCCCTTCTGTCACCCGGACTGGGACTGCTAGTGTGAGTGATGGAACCAAATCGGCGCATGCAATCTTTATTTCTCTCCAGTCAGTGAGAGGGACTTCTTTCCCTTGCAATTCCTTTTTATTTTTTGTTTTATTTTTATTGTGGATAGAAATCCTTTGGCTTTTGGCTGTATTCACTCCTCTTCCCTCCGTCCCTGAGTCTGAATCGGTTGTGAGCCGCTCATCCCCACTGCTGTCTGATCCGGAGTCCGTGCTCAACTGGTCCTGTCCCCTCCCCTTGTGGGCGGACGGGCTCCGGCCCCTCCCTCTTGGCTTGCCCCGCCTTCGGCTGAGCGGGGTGTTTGCCGGACTCAGGCATGTTTTCAGCTGGCTGCTCTGATTGGCTTTCCGCCCTCTGCCTACGTCCCTCTCTGCCCCCTGGTCCCGCCCCCCACCCCTCTCCTCCTCAGTCTCCTCCCCTTTCTCGGCACTGGCATCTTTGCCCCACCCTCCCCCTTTTTGCGCGGCACCATCTTGGGGTGCAAAGGGGGGGGGTCTGATAGAAGCCTTGCGAACCCCAGTCTCCACCCGGCATTCCAGGCGTCCTCGGCCAACCCTCTCCAAAAGGATACAGCTCTTCTCAGTTCTTCCATGATCAGGTTGGGGTGCAGGGCTTGAGAGGGCACGCCGCCCTCCCGCTGATAGGGG